TGACTGCTAACCAGAAGGCTGGCGGTTCAAACCCACCAGCCACTCCTCAGTAGGAAGACTGGACAATCTACTTCTGTAGAGATACTGCCTCGGAAACCCAAGGAGGAATCACTATGAGTCAGAATCAACTCAACAGCAGTGAGTTTGGTTTTTTTTAAAACAAAAACAAAACCCATTGCCATCAAATCGATTCCAACTCATAGCGACCTCCACTGGTTTCCAAGGCTATAAATCTTTACAGAAGTAGATTGCCTCATCTTCCACCAAAGCTGGTGGGTTTGAACCACTGACCTGGTTAACAGCTAAATGCCTTACGCACTACAGCACTAGAGCTCCTTAGTGTATAACATACACTTGCTAAATAATCAGTAGAAGTGGATAAATGTGAAATGGTTAAAAAATATACCTCTTTCAAAACCTCAGTTGTCAAGGGAACTCAGGTCTGACAAGCAAAGTTGCAGGTATCTTACTGACCACAAGGGGCAGGTTAAAAGCAGGAGGCAGCAAACTAACTACCACGTTGAGAACCAGAAATTAATTTCAACTGGCAGGCTCCAATTTCCACAGTTGCTACTTGCTACTACATTTCTATCTTGGTTCCGAACAGTTTAGACCAGGCTGAGGCCTGATACAAAGTCATCCTGAAGCTGCTGTCTAGATGTGAGCGATCTGAATGATGGTGAGGCAGGTGGACTGGCTCCCAAGTATCACTCTTAGGGCAAGGTCAAGGTTTAGAAAGCACCAGTGCCAGCTGTCATTGAGTTGATCCCAACTCATGGTCCCATCTTTTAGAAAGTAGTCATTTTCAAATCTGCTGTGAAACGGCACTGTGTTCAGGCGTTAAGGTGGCACCGAGCACTGTGGCAAGCTTTGAGTGTCCTGAAAGTAACCTATCAAGAGACTAGAAAGCTAGGCTTCCCAGGGGATCAAACCAAGCGAGACTTGAATTTTGTTAGATAAAGCACAGCAAAAGTTCATAAGTGTTATTTAAAGTTTGCTTCTTAAATACTGTGACTTGGATTTTGAAAACAATTTATATTTATTCATATTTTTGTAGTGAAGATTAAGCTTTAAAGACAAAAAATAAAGACTACTTCACACCCAGTAGGATAGCTATAATTAAAAAAGAGATAATAATAAGTATTGGTGAGGATGAAAAAACATCAGAACACTCACCCATTACTGGTGGGAATGTAAAATGATACAATTGTTTTTAAAAAATGTGGCAGTTTCTCAAAATGTTACACACTGCCTTAACCATATGATGTAATACCTCCTCTCCTAGGAATATACCAAGAGAACTGAAAATATACATTCACATAAGAACCTGTACATGACTGTTGATAACATCATTAGAATATTCTAAAAGCCAAAAAGTGGAAACAACCCAAACATCCATCAACTGATGAATGGATAAATAAAATGTGCTATATACATGCAATGGAATATTATTTGACCATAAAAAGGAAAGAAATATTGATACAAGCTGTGGTATGAATGAACCTTGAAAACATTATGCTAAGTAAATGAAGCCAATTACAGAAAACTGCATATTATATGATTCCACTCATATGAAATGTCCAGAATAGGCAAATTCAGACACAGAAAGTAGATCAGCAGTAGTCTTGGGCTGGAGGAGGGAATGGAAAGTGACTGCTTAGTACAGAGTTACTTTGGAGGGTGACGAATATGTTCTAAAATTGACTGTGGTGATGACTGCATAACCGTGGATATACTGAAAAACAATGAATCATACACTTTAAATGGTTGAATTGTATATGGTATGTGAATTTTATCTCAATAAAGCCATTTAAAAAAAGAAAAGAATGAGAGGACAAAAATAAATAAAAAACCAAACTCACTGCCGTCAAGTCAGATCCGACCCACAGCGGCCCCCTCCTTGGGTTTCCAAGGCAGTATCATTACAGAAGTAGATCACCCAGTCTTCCTTCTGATGAGTGACTGGTGGGTTTGAACGGCCAGCCTTCTGGTTAACAGTCAAATGCCTTAGGCACTACGCCACCAGAGGCTAACAAAATCTGGATCCTGGGAGCGCCTTTTGTTTTTACAATCAACACTGCTGTCTAGTGATAAACTCTAGAAATTTATATAAATGGTTCCTGGGAACCTGAGAAAGTTCTGCCTGTAAAGGTTAATGTAAATACGCAAGCCAATGATAGCAAACCCAAAGAAATACTGACTTTTGGAAATACAGGCTTTCAACATTATAGCTATTACTTTAATGACTCATTCTCAAAATTGAGTGAGGAAGGCAAGGATAGCAGCACTCCAGAAAGGGAAAAGGAGTGGAGGGAGAGAAGGAATTTATTTTCTACCTCGACCCTCTCCAGGGTGCAACTATTCCCTATCATACTGGTATTTTATATTCTTCAAGAATGTTGGGGGCAAAAACTAAATTGGGAGCCAGTGCTCTTATAATGTTTCTAGAAACATTACCATAGCTAATACTTGACTTCGATACTATGGAAATAAAACTTGGGAAAAAACAGCATCAAAGACACCGTGCAGAGTGAATACATGCAGTAAGACATGCACCTCAATGTGACAGTGACACACAGCCCAGAGAAGCTGCTGGGAACACTTGCTTCCCAGGGATGGATCTGACCCAATGTAAAGTCTAGGGGTAAGCATGCTACTCTTACACAACAGAGACCCATGCTGTGGTTGAAAATAACACTGAAACAAATGTTCACGACGGTGGTTTATGCATTCCACTGAGGAGGGTATGGAAAACCTTAATCTGTCCATCAATTATAACACTATTTTACTAGTGATTAAGTACAAGTTAAATGTATCTCTGAACCACAGAGAAAAAGTGGTGCCAGGTCCAGAGATTCCTTCTAATGCTGGCAAAGAAGCCTTTCAATTCCTGTAGGGTGATGAGTATTTCATGAGCCCGCCCATTTCGCATCCCTCATCTGTGGTCCGCAGCTAAAGCAGCAGAAGAACTTCACCCCCCCAGACCCTTTACAGGTGCAGTACAGCGCTGATGTGTGAGAAGTTCTTAAGAATCTTAAGAAAGCTGAATATCTGTGACAATTCCTTTAGATACTATGATCACTCTCTTATATTTATAGATCATTTCCATAACACAGTGTTATTCCTTCATGCTTCAAATCACCATGCTTGTGGAAGACAGGCAAGCCAAAACCATTCCAATGCTAGGGAAAGGGTTAAGTCCAAGTACATCCCAGCCAAGGAGCCTGGCTCAGTTCTGTCCTCACTGTCCTACCAGGAAGCAGGAAATGGAGGCCATGCTCTAGTTTATGGTTTGTTCTCTGCTATGCTCCATGGAGCTAAAAGGAGGACAACTCATAATTAGGAAAAACATTCCTCTGCTCCTTGACCAGAATAATTATATATATATATATGTATGTATATATATATATATTACACACCACCACAAGATTTTAACAGATTAGAAAGTTGTTAACTCAAAAGATACAACTTTAAAGCTGCAGCACAAAGCTAGGTTTCCATGTGCTTAAGAAGTATTAAAGTAATTCCACCTAGTAGTTGACATACGAAACTATAAGTTTATAGGCTTTATAAACATGCGATTGAGTATCATGATAAAACAGCAAATAAATATTAACATTGATCTGGAAAACAACTTGAAAGCAAAATGGCATGCTTTTACTCATGAAAAAGTAAGGCTCAAAGTGATGAATTTTCAAAAGTAATTTCTAATAGATAGCACTCAAAATCCATGGTATTTGTTTCTAATAGAGACTCAGTCTGAAGACAGAAATTAGCGCAAACACTCAAGACAAAGAAGCATAAAGAAAAGCACTTGCCTGGTGTTTCACTGGTTTAGGCGATTCCTGCTGTTTGTTACAAACAGATAAATGCAAAAGTTAGCAAGACTGGGTCTGTCCCCAAGCAGTAAAGCACATCCAAAGCACTCAAGTCCACGTATAGTTAGGCCTGTGAATGCCAGCTTGGCTGGCAAAGAGCTCAAGCTGTATTAACTACCACCTCTGCATATCCAAGGCGCTCTGGTGGTGTAGCACCTAAGGCATTTGACTGCTCATCAGAAGGTTGGCGGTTCAAACCCACCAGCAGCTCCGCAGAAGGAAGATGGGGCCATCTACTTCCGTTAAGATTTACTGCCTCAGAAACCCAATGGGGTCACCATGAATTGGAATCAACTTGATGCCAGTGAGTTGGTTTGGTCTGGTCTGTATGTCTACAAATCAAGGAGAGCTGACACTTATATTCCTACCCCTTTTTCTATCATCAACTCCTCCCACATTTCTACCCTCCCCTCAAGCTGCTGGGGGCAGCAGCAATAGGTTGCTCTGTAAGTCCAGAAAGAACTGCTAAAAAAAAACATTTGAGGGTCTTCTTTTGGTAGGAAATGAGACAAGTCTTCAGCAAGCACAGCTCTCCAACTTTTAACAGTTCTCACCAAATCTTTGCAAGAAACTAGGCTTCAAGCAGCAACCCTAACTGCGGTGAGCTCTGTAAGCGGGAACTATTTAACAGCAATGTTCTTATATCCTTGCCCCCTCCTACGTGTGGAGGAGGGAAGACAAAAGAGCTGTTAACTTGGCAGGACCCAGTGTAAGTCTGCTTCCTTATTCTTGCTCCTGAAATTGTGAAAGAATAAACTAAGATTTTTAAAACAACAACAAAACATAAACTTACAGGAATGTTGTGGTCCTTTCTTCCTTTATGTGAAGAAGCAACATGAGCAAGGTACTGGATGACTTTCTTCGTATTTTCTGTCTTCCCAGCCCCTGACTCACCCCTGAAAGAAATACGAACACAGTCTGAGTTAACAAAAGCCTAGCATATACCTTCCATAATAACAATTCATAAACTTACACTAGATGTAGAAAAACGAACATAAAACAACAGAAGTGGGTAGAAAACAAAGATAAGGAAAGTAGGAGGGAAAGCTGGCCAAAAAGAAAACAACTTTTTTTTAAAGTGTATTTTAAATAAACTCAAATTTTTCTTAGTAGATGCCATTAAAAGGACACAGGAAAATTTCCACAACTTCTTTTGCTCAGGGACCAGGGGTCCTGTGGGAGAAGCAGAACTTATTAGGCCGCTGATGGAGAAACTTCTCAGGACCAGAAACATGTCCAGAAACCAGAAATAAGGAATTCCCAAATCAATCAAATTCAAATTTTACGGAGGAAACTAAACTCTGGGACACCTGCTGTTTGCTGATGTTGTTGTTGTTATGTGCGTGAAGCCGGACCCCGACTCATAGCGACCCCTCCTTGGGTTTCCGAGGCAGTATCACTACGGAAGTAGGATTGCCCCACCTTCCTTCCGAGGAGTGGCTGGTGGGTTTGAACCACCAGCCTTCTAGTTAGCAGTCAGGTGCCTTAGGCACTATGCTACCAGAGCTCCCTGTTTACTGATAGTCAGCTTCAAAGCCACTGAATGCCTTCTCAGATGACCCCTCAAACCAGGCAAACAATGATTCTTTCCTTTATGCCAATGTTGTACCTCCTATCCACCTCATCCAAGACCTTCACACTGACTGCAACTCTTTACAGCCCGGCCCGGCCCACTGTCGGCCCAGGCTTTGCATTTGTTCAGTTCTGCTTGTAATTTTTAATCCACATAACCTTGTCTGACACAGAGCCAGCACACAGGTATTTGTGAGGAAATAATAAATGAATACTATGAATTTTATGAATGAGACAAACAGCATTCACTTCATATGATTCACATTTACAAACAAGACTAGCACATTGCAGAGGTATCCTCTTATTTCTACTCAGTGCTAAATCTACAATTCGGGCAAGCTGTTTGGTACAGTATGGTACTCTTCATGCGAGTTCTTAAACTACCTAAGACATGACCAGAGCAAACCTACCTTTACAATCAATAAAAATCTGCGTTAAATAAAGTCTGAATATATAATTAGATGAATTTAAAATAAAACCCACAGAAACATAAAGATGTTTTACACACACTGCCAACTAGTAATTGTTATCTATCATTGCTTAATATAAGCCTGTTTTATTTAAGGCTTGGAAATCTAATTTCTCTAACAAATTTTGACCAATTTTTGGAATTATAATGTTTGAATTTGTCCACAGTTTTTAGTAAATGCTTACTGGTTTTATTACCTTCCCAATTCCCTGCACCCAAGTACCTATAGTCTCAACAGAGGGGTTGGGTGAAAGGATCCCATTAACTAGTTATAATGATTTAAGGACTGAGCCTCCATATTCCCATATATAAAAATGTAGAAATTGGATTTGATCCCTTCTAGTACTAACACTTGATGATTCTACATATAACCACTTATTGATGTATTAAAGGACCTCTGGTGGCTCAGTGGTTAAGTGCTTGTCTCTTAACCAAAAGGTCAGCAATTCA